AGAGCAAAGATGCATCTCTCAAAAGTGGCTGTAAATTTTTTGTCTCACAGTTGAATTAATACAGTTATACAATACTGAACTCAGTATAAACCCTGTAAGACATAAGATTGAATGAGTTTCTAACCTTTAAAAAAGATCTCCATTTCATTTAAAAATATACTGTTTCTTAGAGAAAGACTCATTGTTTTTGCTAATAACACTTGTTTGCAAGAATTTTGTACCTCAGGCCCAGTGTACCGGCACACACCTTTAATCTTAGCACTCGGGAAAAGAGGCAGGTGGATCTCTGTGAGCTGGAGCCTAGCCTAGCCTGGTCTACATGGCAAGTTCCAGACCATCTGTGGCTACAGGGGGATCCTGTCTTTAAAAAAAGATTTTATACACGATTATTGTATTTGCATTATTTCCACCCCTCACCATCCCCCTCCAACTTTTCCCATGTCCCCCCCACTCCCTCTCAATTCCTTGTCTTCTTCTTTGACTACTATTGTTATACACATACATATATATATAATGCACTGAGTCCATTTAGTGGTGCTCATGTGTATCTGTGTTTAAGGTTGCCCGCTTAGTATTAGATAACCTCTCAGGGAGCTAGTCCCTGGAGAAACAATTAGTCTCCCTCCCTCCGTAGTCACTGGTTGCCTGTAGCTCTTCATCTTGAGGTGGGACTTTGTGACATTCTCCCCATCCACCTTGGCATGTCAACTGGTTTTGTCATTAGGCAGATCTTGTTACGACTACTGCACTATGAAGATTTCGTTGGCGCAGCTTTCCTGTCATGTCTACAATGCACTGACTAGCAGCTGGTGTCTCAGCCCTCTGACTCTTAGATTCTTTCTGCCCTTTCTTCCAAGATGTTCCCTAAGCCTCAGGTGTAGAAGTTGCATTGTGGATGTGTCATATAGGGCTGACCACCTCACAGACACTTACTTTCTGCCTTTGGCTAGTTATGGCACTTTGTAATAGTCTCCATCTGTTGCAAAAGGAAGTTTCTTTGATAAGTGGTGAGAGGTACACTTGTCTATAAATATAAGTATATATATTTAAAATATGCATAGTTAAATTATGTTGGTCTACGGAGTGATACAAGTAGGTTCTTCTGAAGGGTCTATGATCTCTCCAGCCTTGGGTATTTGGCTTTGTTTACAGTACCACACATGAATTCCCTCCCACTGAGCAAACCTAAGTTCAATTAGACAGCTGTTGATTACTCCCAAGATAAAAGTGCCACTTCTGTACTAATAGAGATAATTTGCTGGACCAGTCATTATTGTGGTTCATAGGCTTTAGCACTGGGTAGGACCATGGATTGGTTTTCTCCCTTGTCAGCTTGCATGGTATCCTCTGATACCATGAGAGCTAGTCTTCAGGGAGGAGGCTTCCAGGTCAGTTCCAGCTCCAAGTCCTGTATCCGAAGTATGTAGCTTAATCGTGTCATGGCAGAACAAAGTAAAACAAAACTCCAAAAGGATATCCTAAAAAGCTAACATGTAGCAAATGTCATGCCTCTGTCTCCAAGCCCCACTGGTTAGAAAACAATTGCTGCAAGAAGAACCAGTGGTGTGGCAATGTCAATCAGTTCAAACTCTGAAATGAAAAATTGTTAGGACATTGGGGTCCTAGGAACTACAATTTGGGAACCATGGGTTCTGAAAAAGGCAGAAGTGGGCATCTTACCAACCCTGGAATGTTGGAAAGGAATGCGGCAGCAGGAGCAATAAGGGAAAGAAGCATAACGGAGGGGAAATGTCCAAGCTCCGGGCCCGGGGTCGCCATCGATGATTCCAAACTCTTACAGTCAACGGTGAAAGGAGACCACAGTTCACACTTCCGGCAGCAGCTGGCATTGTGCAGAAGCCCTGTTTCCTAAAGGCCTCCTGGCTCCAGTTTTAAAGGCTCTTGAAATATTGCTTTCTATTCTCAAAGAAATCAGTGATAATGTGAGGCTACGCATTGTGGCATTGGCGAATAATGCAAATGTTTCTGTGGTGGGGTTTGTAACGTGGTCCCCATTTTAAATTGTACAACTTGGTGCTTTTTAATATACTCCTTAGGTTATGCAATTATCACCACTATCAAATTTCAGAACATTTCCTCAGTCCAAAAGGGATTTATGGTAGTAACTGTCATTCCTCCCAAACCCTGGGGGTGCTTCTCGGGTTTGGTTTTGTTTGTTCATTTTCAATATTATTTATTATTATTGTGTGTGTACATGTGTGCAAGATGTGGGAAGGTGCACATGGCATGGCACTATGTGGTCAGAGCACAATTCTGTAGAGTCAGTTCTCTCCTTCCTCCATTCCATGGATTCCAGGGTCCAACTCAGGTCCCCAGGCTGGCATGGCAAATGTCTTTCCCATTGAGCTGCTTTGAAGACCCACTTCTTGGTTTTTGAGAGCCAGTTGTTTAACACTTAGAACATACCATTGCTGGCAAGGCATCTGTTACCATAATAAGAAGTTACTTTTCTCCTTCTCTTTACTAAATATTTTGATTCTTGAAAGACCTTGAAGCTGCCTAAAACCCACGAGTGTATATCACAAGATTTATATACTTTTGAAAAGAAGCTATTTTAGTTCTTGTTTAATTCAGCTTATCCATCATCACAGGATGAGATGAAAAATGTCACACACTAAGATCAAAAACTAACGAATCTTTTAAAAAGCAAGATAGCTTTCTGCAGGATTAGTATACAGGCTTTACTTCTGCATGAGACAATGGGTGCTTGTCTATTTTTAGATTAGATAATGCACTTCCTGGGACCCACAGGGGGCCCTGGCTTCTCTTATTACTGAGCACACACACACAGACCAGGAATTTTGTGAAAAGGAGAAAGAAAAAAGAAAGCAAAGAATCGATGTCTGCTCTTTTGATCACTGGTGCAACCCCATCAAGAAAGATGCAGCACAGTGCCCAAGAATGTCCTAAAAGAAGTTGGCATTTGCCTGAGGCTGTAGCTCAGTTGGTAGATTGCTTGCCTAGCATGACAAGCCCTGGGTTCCACCTCCAGCACTATATAAACTGGGTACAGTGGTGCATGCCTGTAATTCTAACACTGGGGATGTTGAGGTAAGAGGATCAGGTTCAAGGTCATCCTCTGCTATGTAGTAAGTTCAAGGACAGTCTGGGAAGACTCTGTCT